TCCTCAGGGATTTTTGCCAAACCTGACCATGTTAAGGTGGCATCTGTTTTGTCTCCTCAGGGATTTTTGCCAAGCCGGACCATATCCATGTTAAGTTGGCATCTGTTTTGTCTCAGGGATTTTTGCCAAACCTGACCATGTTAAGACGGCATCTGTTTTGTCTCCTCAGGGATTTTTGCCAAACCTGACCATGTTAAGGTGGCATCTGTTTTGTCTCCTCAGGGATTTTTGCCAAGCCGGACCATGTTAAGATGGCATCTGTTTTGTCTCCTCAGGGATTTTTGCCAAGCCGGACCATGTTAAGATGGCATATCCAAAGACTCAGCTCCAGCATTCACTGCCTTTATCACTGATTTGTGACAATCTCCGTGACCCTGGGAACCTGGGGACAATTCTGAGATCCGCAGCTGGGGCGGGCTGTAGCAAAGTGTTACTCACCAAAGGTAAGAGCATCCAAGGCCGGGCGTGGTGGCTCCCACCTGTAAACCAGCCCTTTGGGAGGCCGAGGCAGGAGGGTCACTCCAGCCCAGGAGTTCAGGACCATCCTGGGCAACATAGTGAGACCTCGTCTCTACAAAAAAAAAATTAAAATTGGCTGGGTGTGGTGGGGTGTGCCTGTAGTCCCAGCAACTTGGGAGGCTGAGGTGGGAGGATTGCTTGAGCCTGGGATGTTGAGGCTGCAGCGAGCTCACCACTACACTCCAGCCTGGGCGACACAGTGAGACTCCCTCTCAAAAAAAAAAAAACAAAAAAAACAGGTGGATTAGTAGGTCTTTTTTTAAAAGAAATGGGGTCTCACTATGTTGCCTAGGCTGGTGTTGAACTGGCTGTGGCTCAAGCAGTCCTCCTGCCTCAGTCTCCCAAAGCACTGGAATTACAGGCATGAGCAACCACGCCCAGCCAGGTTCGGCCATTGTTAGGTGAGCTAGGGCTCTGGGCAGGCAGACATGGGTTGGATCTTGGTCTGCCTTCACTAGCTCTGGTCCCTGAGCAGTAGTCCCTGAAGTGTCAGCTTCCTCATTGGTGAAGTGGGAGGAATAACAGAATCTCCCTGGTCATTGTGAGGATTAAGTGAGATGATGCACATAAGGTACTTCAACCTTACCTGGCACACAAGTAACTCAGTAAATATTGATTCTCTTTTTAAAAAATTATGTTTTTTGTAGAGACAGGGTCTTGCTCTGCTGCCCAGGCTGATCTCAAACTCCTAAGCTCAAGGGATCCTCCTGCCTCAGCCTCGCAAAGTGCTGAGATTATAGGCGTGAGCTGCCATACCCAGTCGATGTTTATTATCTTTTAAAATTATCATGAAACCTGCTAGGAATGACGTCAGAAGCTCTGAATCCTAATGTCATCGTGATCCGTTTCCCTCAGTTTCCCTTAGCCTCAGCGTGGGTCACATGCCCCACACACAAATCCGCCTCATTACACTTCTGTCTCTCATCATCAGAAATGGGGATTAATCGGCTTGGCTCTAAACAGACTTGCCTGACAGCTGGGGCACGCCTAAAATCTCTGTTACACCTTGGGGGCGAGAGGACAGAGAGTACCATTCATCAGAAACACTCCAGCCACCATTAAAAGTAAACTAATAGTGGCACCCGTTGTTGAGACTTGCCTGAATTGCTGCTCGCACCTCTTTCTCATCACGCCTTGCTAGAGTACGTTTCTGTGCCATGTGAGAGCTACGTGCTGGGGTTCCGTGACCAGTACCCCGCTTACTCGCCCCGTTATTTAGTGCTCTGATAGCTATTGTGGGATTTGGAAATAAATCTAAATAATCCAAGCAGTGTGGTTTTCACATTGACACTGATGGCTGGTGTGTAAGAAATGGGGAAAGGAAGGAAATACTTGGTGTGGTGCCCAGTATCCAGGACATGAGGATGACGGGAGGAGCCTCGCCTTTCCCTTCTCCCCTCCAGGTAGAGCGGTCAGCCTGGGCCGCTCCTCTCACACATCTGGGCCCATCTCTGGTTTCCTGCAGGGAGAGGGAAAGGAAAGCCGTGGTTGGGGGTGCAGGCGCTGTTACATCCTCTGTGTCTCATTCTCCTTTTAAAATCTGGTTTGCCTGCTTCGTCTCTCCTGAGGTTTGACAAATGAACTTTTAAAATAACTCGTCAGGAGAAGACTTGCGCTAACAAATTGTGCGGGGGAGGGTGGGAGGTGATGCAGTCCCTGTGGGGCCCCACCCTGGGCCGCTCTCCAGCCCGCCTGTGGTGAGGGGCAGGCCCTGGCAAAGGCCGGGCTGAGGCTGCTGCCCGGGTGGCCTCTTGCCTCATTCCTCTCTAGGGCCTTCCCTGCTCCAGTGC